GTTTGTCACCTGCTCCTAATCTTAATTCAGAAAGGGAGGAGGGGTGGAGATGGCTCGCTCACCTTTAAATGAGGAAAGGCACTAATTCACAGAGTGCAAACAGACTGGGACTGACCTACATATTCCTCTGACTAGAGTTTTTTTTTCTTCTCTAGGCTTGTTTAAGGAAGAGAACCCATATGCCAAATTTGAAAACAATTAATGGATCACCCTAAAGCTACCAAGCAGCACTGAACTATCCTCTTCCTTGGACACACAGAACTGTACAGCACAGAGGTGGAACACAGGATACATTTCAGGCACCAAAAAGATTGGACATGTGCTCCACAGAGCCTTGTCCCAACCTCTGGATGAAGCCAGCTGAAATTCCAATGAGCTATTGAAACCAGCAGAGCTGCATTGCACCCCACTTGTTTTACCTCAGACTTTCCACTGCTGCCCATAGTGTGCAGCACTTTGTATCTGAAGTCCATTTAATTTTTGCTGCTTCTGTTCTGTGCAAGACTCATGGCAATAACTTTCTCTTTGACTGTTAATAGGTACGTAGGCAGTGTTATTTCCACCACAGTTCTCTCTCTTGCCCAACTTGTTTTAGACTGAATTAGCAAGCCAAGGCAGCAGTATATTTGCTTTGATCTTCAATAAGCAATATTGCAAGGAGCAGATTATCTTTACAGTCCTTTGCTTGATAAATACTTCAGATCTGTGAGCAGAGCTGTTTATCTTCATGTTCCTTTTTTATCTGAAACATGAGATGGTGTCAACTCTTTTTCAAAGGCTAGATTGATTGATTGATTTGGACAACTTGCTCGAATTGAAGCCTTGGGTACTTTTTTTTTTCTAAGTGACAGAGCTGGACAGTCTTAACTGTGTAGTGTTAGTATTGTTTCAACACACTTCTCTAGTACTGAGGACATGGGGGTGGAATTAAGATCATACTTGCACTTTTTTTTCCTCTCCTTTTTTGGAATAGATGTTCCTTCTACTTCCAGAATTCGTCTCGTGTAGATGAGTTCCTTAATCTTCTACCTCTGCTCTGTGCCTTTCTATAACCTCTTGTAATTCAAGACTGAAAGCAGCCATTTAAGACTTGGGTATTGTGAGCCTATGTTAGACACATGTTAGTAAAAAAAAATGTAAAGCCTTGGCAATATTGAAGTGATTACTGCTTAAGTCTGAACAAATGAATTCTGCTTCAGTATGAAGCATAGTTTGATTTGACACATTGCTTCAGCTAAAATATTGTTTTCAGTAACGTGTAATCTATAATGGAATATTCTAATAACCAAATAGGTTAAGTGAGAAAGTGGTACAGAAAGGACAGTATAGCATGGTAAGACAACTAGCAGGCTCCCACATGGCCTGTACTTCCTGGGGTATGGAAAGACTGTAACTCTGTGCTCGATGACCTGAGCCAGGTTACTCAATGCACAATTAATCCATATTTTAAACGTCACAGGAATGTGGAAAGGGTGGATTAACAAACAGCTGTAAAGGTTTGGGGGGGGGGGGTTGTTTTTTTTTCTAAAACACTAGAACATGGCAAATGACACTCATCCCTGACAGCAGAATGCAGGCGGGGCACTTGAGCCCTCTGGGCACATGGAGCAGTTGCATTCCACTGTTCCTCTGGACCATGGGCTCAAGTGCACTTGAAGTTGAAGAGGAACATATGATAATCCAGACTAAACATAGCCGTAAAAAGTTCTGATGGTTTAAACTTCTTGCACCAAAGTGAAGCCTGTCTGCCTTGCAGAGAATGGATGTTAAAATCCAAAATGTGGGAAGTCTTGAAAATGTAACCTGATTGGAATACTGCACAGTGCCTGGGATGGAAGCATTGCTGTGGGCTTCCTTGGAAACACTTTGCTATAACTTCACATTTTTATGGCACTTTGGTCTCTTAAGACGTGCACAGTTTTTAAAATGAGAAGCCTTTTGAACTGAACTCTGAACTTTAAAAAAAAAAAAAAAAAAAAAAAAAAGTTATCTCTACAGGAGAGACACTGTTTTTTATGTTGATTTTTGGAGAGGGGAGGGTATCTTAAAAAGGTCAAAGCAGTGCTGAGCTGTACAGAGCACTTCATGGTACTATGAAGGCATGTATTTGCTTCCACTAATGCTGGGCGTGAAATCATGAGACTGGCAAGAGATTAAAAACTGTGCCTTTCTCCATGCTGCACTCCTTCCAGCAGCATACCATTCTAGATGAGCAAAACTAACTGATATGTAAATGACTGACGTGGCTAATAGCAAATAAACTGATTTAGTAAGTAATGTGGACTGGCTGAGTTCGTTTTTCTTTTTGTTTTGTTGGAATTATCCTCCTCTTAAAACAGCCCATGTAAAGAGCAGAGTTGGTGATGCCTGGTTTCTTTTCCCCTCCCCCACCACCATCCAAAGGGAAAAACTTTTTCTTGGCTAGCTGTCCTTCTACATCACTGGGGCCAACCTTTGTTAGCAGGCATGCCCCAAATTTATCATAGAATCATAATCGTATCATAGAAGTCGGGTTGGAAGGGACCTTGTAGATCTT